TTTGAAAGAAGCTACAAATCAGTCTTAAATATTGAATCTACTAATAGAGAAGACAGTGGATTGTATGTTTGTAGTGCCAATAACACATTTGGACATAGCCAGATGGCAATTAGACTAGGAATTGTTGGTAAGCTCCTTAATATTAGTAATGAATATTTAGATTTATAATATTAAAGTAATATAGAAAATGAGTTTTGACGAATTTTCAGAGCCACCCAGCCAGCCTGAAGAGTTAAAAGTGAAAACAATATGGAGTAGAAGTGTTCGGCTGAGTTGGTTGCAGCCTTATAATGGAAATACTGTAATTCAAAAATACATTTGTATTTATAAAAAAGGTATTTAATAGATTAATTTATAATAACTATTAAATATTAATTATTAAAAAGAATTTATTTTTTAGAAGACAAAAGCAGACCTGTTGAACTAAAAGTTGATGGATCTCAAATGTCAATCATTGTACTTCGTTTAAAACCGTATACAAAATACCAATTTCAAGTTATTGCCGTCAACGAAGTTGGAAGTAGCAAACCTTCAGAAATAGTTGTCGCCATTACTTCTGAAGAAGGTATCAGATAGTTTTAATATTAATTTTCAAAACGTGCATATTTAAATCAACTGACAAGATCTTGCAAGCGATTCTCCTGGCACTCAGGAGTTGATTAATTAATTAATTAAGTGATCAGGTAGTTAAATGATTTTTAATTATACTAAGATATAAAATTCAAATAATAATAATTTATTTAATTTAAAATATATGCCTCCCCGTCAAATTAGTAGCGTCTTGCTCCTGTACTGTACATCATACTTTTACAATGGAGTCGTGCTGGCTATCTAACTCCTTTCAGGGGAAATTTTTGAATTGAAATAACGTGACTTCCGGTTTGCATAGGACGTTTGTATAGTTAATCGGGCTTCTTGCCCTTAAGCTTTCCATATCTAGTCTTGAGTTTCATCTATCTAACACCGTTCTTGAGATTAAGGAAAGACGGACAGATGGACGACAATGGGAATTTATAAATCTACAATTTTTTTCAAATTGCAGCCCAATAAAAACTAAAAAGGAGTAGTAATTTTGTTGATTTATGAGGAACTTCTCTGCTATTCAAATTAAATGTTTTTTAAACTAAATATTCTTGAGTATGGCTTAAAGTTAAAATTGTGGTGACGCCATCTTTTATGAGATTTTATTTAAAAGTCATTTTATATTATTAATTATTATTAAAATGACAAAGCATTATTTTTGAAAATAGAGATGAATTTTTTAAAACTGTAAATACAAACTGTAATGAATAAAATTGTCATTAAGTCTGAACCTACTCAAGATATGACACTTAATCGTTTTGTATCTCCCCACCTTCTTGATCTAAAATTTAATAGCATCAATGTAGAAATAACCTTGCCAAGTTTCAAAATTTTTAGTTCAGCCAATCCTAAAATATGTTGCAAAATTGGTAACCACCATACTTACGCATATGTCAAAGAGAATTTTCTAATTTTTTTTTAATTTTTGGGGGGTCCTGGAATGTCAGAATTGATCAAAATGATTGAAAAAATGAAAACCTGTGATAAAATTTCAATATCAATTTTCTGCCTATTAAGAATTTAAAGTGCCAATAACACAATTTTTCCTTTCTCCCTGGAGAGCTTCGATGGCGCTCTATAAGAAGCTCTTTTACTATTACATATTTAAGATATAAATTCGGAATTAATCGATAACTTAAAGTTTTCAAAAGAAATTTTTAATAGTAATAAATAAACTGGTNAAATTGTTTAGTTGTGTTAAGTCCTCCATACATTAAATAAATAAGAAAAATTAACGCTTACTTTAACGTAGAAACGAAATAAATATCAAATATATACATAAATTTAGTTAAATTTTGTAAATATCTAAGAGAAAATAACAAAAACCAGAAATATCTAACATTCGTACAACTGCTTAATTAGCTTTTACTTAAGGAACTTGTGAATTTGATAGCGATAACACACTAAATTTTATAATAGCATTCATCTTTATCAGTTATTTTAAATTATATAAAAACTATAAGAATTAAAATGTATTTAGTAAAGCATTAAATTCTAAATATAATTTAGAATTTAATGCTTTCTGAAAATCTATTTCTGAAGTGAAAACATAAAGAACTAATTCTAGTCAACTCGTTTTTTACTTTGATAATTTTATAAATGATATTTTCAATAATACTGGTTTGACTGTATTTTTTATTAATATTTATATTAATGTTGATGAAAAATAAAACGTTATTTTTGATTTTGTTAATTTTTTTTTAATAAGGGGAAAAATCTAAACTAAAATAATGAATAAACACTACAAATTATTTAAAGTAATGAGGTCTGTGCAAACATTTGAAGTATGAGAGTTTGAAAGTCACATGATTTGGTAATAGCATTATTTTCCTGCAAAGTAAAATCCTACATTTAGTAATTTAGAGATAATGAAGGGTTCTATAATTGAACTTTAATGAAGGTGGACCTTTTACGTGACCATTCATTGGCGCTCTACAAGGTTGACGCTATATAAGGCATTTATTTATATCATTTTTTAAGAATTTCTAGAATTGTTTAGCTCATTGTAAAGATTTTATTGCAAATTAAATATAACTTATATTTTATTTATACATATTTTAATTACAAAAATATATTTGCTGTTGTTTATATTATTGCAGATAATTTCGTTTGTATTATTTCAATTTTATCATTAAAATTTTTGCTATTTCAGATTTATCTTTTACATAAGCTATATAAGCTTTTATTTTTGTTATGTTTAATATTTTCCCCTTTTTGATAAAATCTGAATTAATTGAAAAATAGACATTTTTGTTTATTTCAAAAAATGTATCTTAAAATTCATTTATTCTAAAAAAATGTTTGATGAAATGTCAATTAAATTATACTTACTGCACAGTTTAGTTTTTAAATTTAAAAACTAAATATTCTACTAAATCACTTAAATTTTTTCGTAAAGAAAATCATATTTGCCTAATGCTATACTGCCTAATTATAATTTTTTTTTTAATTTTACATCTAGGTTACTCAAGCAATATCGAACATTCTACGATTGCATTGCAGTTTCAATATATCATGAATGTCCCTTTTTATTTCTTATATAGCTACGTATTTGGCTATTAGTTTAGGACATATCACACCACGTTTCTTAAGAAACTTGACTTGGACTTTTTTCTTTTTTAATTCCAACTTCAATATGTACATCTCGGGTTATTTTCCCCCTCTTCCCAATTTTTCCATAAACCATTTTTTACAGCCATTTTACCGGAAATTTCTATGCAGAAAAACTTCCGGTAAAATGGTTGTATAAAATGTAATTCAAGTGAATAATGTAAAATTGATTTAATTGTTATTTTTACTTTTTAAGAAATGTGGTAAAAATTACAATTTATGGAAAAATTAAAGAAAAAATTAGCAAAATACAATATTGTATTTTACAAGAAAAATTTGTTTAATAGAAAATCTTTTACAATTTTGTTTTAAATATAGTCTATTACTCCAACCGAAGAGGGGGGAAATAACCCGAAATGTACATATTGGAGTTGGAATTAAAAAAGAAAAAAGTCCAAGTCAAGTTTCTTAAGAAACGTGGTGTGATAAGTCCTAAACTAATAGCCAAATATGTAGCTATATAAGAAAAAAGAAAATTCTTTTATTTATTTGATGATGGTAATATTTTTACTACAGTTTTCATTGAGTTGTAATCCAGTTAGAAATTGCTCGCTATTGTAGAGAGAGAAATAAAAAGAAAAAGCGAAGATAGAAGAGAAATAATCATCTTACATTTTAAAATAAATTTTTCTTTGTCTTAGTCTATTGGGAACAATCTCTTCAGTCTTTAAGATTAAAAAAAGTAAAAACAAAAGCAAAGAGCAATCTTATAAAGGATGATATTAGTTTAATTTTCAAGTGACTAAGATTTCAAAAGTGGAAAAGCCCTAGCTAGCTAACAGAAATATGGTGTTTTAATCTACACATGAATTGTGAGAAATTGAAAAATAGGATTTAAAGTTGAGAAAAGTTGAGTAAATTTTTGGCAGATTAAACTATTTATTTTGGTAATTAAAATGTAAACTCACCTTACACAGATAATGAATTTTTTACAGCCTTTAAACATGTTATCTATTCTGATTTTTACTTCGATAGGAATTTAAATTTAGTTAACAAAATAGCCACACTTTGAATAAAGCTAAAGGAAATGCTTTGTTTTGGTTCTTTTTTTTATATTCATGATTAACTTGTCAGATTCTTTAGTAAAGGATAGTAATATCTGCAGGGTGCATTTTTTATTTAAAAATAGAGAAAAGTCTGTTCATCAAGATTTTAATTTTTCTTTGAGGATTATGTAAAAGCTGTAATAGAAACTTATCAGTGTTTAACTCTTCGTATCTATTTTCTAAATTAATCTACACTTTTTAATTTCTGAAGTGAATTTGTCTTAACAAATCTTGCAATCTAACGTTTTCGAATTGAACTAAAAATATTACGTTAATTTATTAAAATAAATTATGAAGATCATTTTAAATAACCACTTGCATTGCATAAAAATTATTATAAATTGTGTCAATCTTAATATTTTAATCTAAAAATCCAATATGTCTTTAATAGACTTTTCATTTTTTCTATTAAATTTAGTATACAATAATACTGTAAATCTGTCAGTTACGAATACTGAAAATATTAAATTTATTCAAATATTAAAAGTTTGGAAAATATTGATTTTAACAACATTTTTTACATTTTTATTTAAATATTATAGTAATAGTAAAAATATACTATTAAATGGAAAATTTATGTATGTATTTTGACTAAGACAAAATAACTAAAGCCTAATAACAGATATTATTTGCTGAAAGAACTTAAACATAAAATAATACAAAATATTTTAAAATATTCGCTATTCTATTTATATACTTTTTTAAAATTTTATAAATACGTTTAATTTAAACATAAATCATATTGCATCTATTATTTTATAGTTCCTCCGAAAATTGTGCCGCAAATTAGTGAAAATAGCTTAAAAGAAGGACAAAGATATATAGCTACGTGTGGAATTAGTGAAGGCGATCCACCATTAACTTTTCAATGGTCAAAGAATGGTAAACCACTGACAGAATCCTCTCATTTGGTAATTCATCGCCAAGGGGACTTTTCAACTTCTCTTATCATAGCATCTGTTAAAGGTGCTGATAGCGGAAATTATACTTGTGTAGTAACGAATAAAGTTGGATCGGATAATTTAATGACGAAATTACTTGTTTCAGGTGAGGAATTAAAAAGTTTAAAAAGGATATTATAATTATAAAAAGTTAAATTGATTTATTTACGTACGAATTCTGATTTAGTGCCACCTGCGTGGGTTCGTCAACCATATGACGTATCAGTTAAAGCCGGAAACAAATTAGTTCTTCATTGCGAAGCTGATGGCTATCCAGCACCAACTGTTAAATGGAGAAGAACAAAAGGTAAAGTACATAATTTAAATCATTCTATTATTCTATTAACGGACTAATATAATTAACACATTTTGACTTTTTAAAAACATATTTTCCATAACATAATTTCAATATTATAAGGCAACTAAAAAGTTAAACAATTAACTGTTGCATAAGCGCTATTATCGATATCACACATAAGGAAATAGTGTCTTCTGAAATCGTAAATTACACCTATTACAATTGATGTATATTTAATATATACGCTGTAAAAACAACATTATAACTTATATACTAAAAGAAGTAGATATACTAATCAGTAACTATATCAATAAATGATATTTTATAGATATAAAAATATTTAATTTTTGCATATCTGTTATATAATTTCTAATTAAAAATTAGAATAAGACATTCTAAACTAAAAATTTTTTAAATGGTTTATTATAAGTACATTTATTAAAAATGATTTCATAAATGGACAGATGAGAATAAGAAAAACTAATTAACAGATAATAAGATATTTTAAAATTGATCTGTTTAGGATTCAACATTGCTCAATCATCTCCTGTAACAGAAAGCAACTGGAAGATTATTGACAGTGGCACAATGAGTACTGTTTCTGCAAGAAAAGACGATGAAGGATTCTATACATGTGAAGTGGGAAATGGTGTCGGAGAGAACTTGTCAAAGACTGTTAGAATTGAAGTTCAAGGTAAAACTGTAGTGAATGTCTACTAAATAAATATATAATCGAAATAGAATATTTTAAAGAAAATAATAAAATTTATATGATAATATATTTAATATCTAATTTTTGTAATTCAAGAGTCCTAATTATAATTTTTTTTTTTAATTTTACATCTAGGTTACTCAAGCAATATCGAACATTCTACGATTGCATTGCAGTTTCAATATATCATGAATGTCCCTTTTTATTTCTTATATAGCTACGTATTTGGCTATTAGTTTAGGACATATCACACCACGTTTCTTAAGAAACTTGACTTGGACTTTTTTCTTTTTTAATTCCAACTTCAATATGTACATCTCGGGTTATTTTCCCCCTCTTCCCAATTTTTCCATAAACCATTTTTTACAGCCATTTTACCGGAAATTTCTATGCAGAAAAACTTCCGGTAAAATGGTTGTATAAAATGTAATTCAAGTGAATAATGTAAAATTGATTTAATTGTTATTTTTACTTTTTAAGAAATGTGGTAAAAATTACAATTTATGGAAAAATTAAAGAAAAAATTAGCAAAATACAATATTGTATTTTACAAGAAAAATTTGTTTAATAGAAAATCTTTTACAATTTTGTTTTAAATATAGTCTATTACTCCAACCGAAGAGGGGGGAAATAACCCGAAATGTACATATTGGAGTTGGAATTAAAAAAGAAAAAAGTCCAAGTCAAGTTTCTTAAGAAACGTGGTGTGATAAGTCCTAAACTAATAGCCAAATATGTAGCTATATAAGAAAAAAGAAAATTCTTTTATTTATTTGATGATGGTAATATTTTTACTACAGTTTTCATTGAGTTGTAATCCAGTTAGAAATTGCTCGCTATTGTAGAGAGAGAAATAAAAAGAAAAAGCGAAGATAGAAGAGAAATAATCATCTTACATTTTAAAATAAATTTTTCTTTGTCTTAGTCTATTGGGAACAATCTCTTCAGTCTTTAAGATTAAAAAAAGTAAAAACAAAAGCAAAGAGCAATCTTATAAAGGATGATATTAGTTTAATTTTCAAGTGACTAAGATTTCAAAAGTGGAAAAGCCCTAGCTAGCTAACAGAAATATGGTGTTTTAATCTACACATGAATTGTGAGAAATTGAAAAATAGGATTTAAAGTTGAGAAAAGTTGAGTAAATTTTTGGCAGATTAAACTATTTATTTTGGTAATTAAAATGTAAACTCACCTTACACAGATAATGAATTTTTTACAGCCTTTAAACATGTTATCTATTCTAATTTTTACTTCGATAGGAATTTAAATTTAGTTAACAAAATAGCCACACTTTGAATAAAGCTAAAGGAAATGCTTTGTTTTGGTTCTTTTTTTTATATTCATGATTAACTTGTCAGATTCTTTAGTAAAGGATAGTAATATCTGCAGGGTGCATTTTTTATTTAAAAATAGAGAAAAGTCTGTTCATCAAGATTTTAATTTTTCTTTGAGGATTATGTAAAAGCTGTAATAGAAACTTATCAGTGTTTAACTCTTCGTATCTATTTTCTAAATTAATCTACACTTTTTAATTTCTGAAGTGAATTTGTCTTAACAAATCTTGCAATCTAACGTTTTCGAATTGAACTAAAAATATTACGTTAATTTATTAAAATAAATTATGAAGATCATTTTAAATAACCACTTGCATTGCATAAAAATTATTATAAATTGTGTCAATCTTAATATTTTAATCTAAAAATCCAATATGTCTTTAATAGACTTTTCANTACTAAATAAATATATAATCGAAATAGAATATTTTAAAGAAAATAATAAAATTTATATGATAATATATTTAATATCTAATTTTTGTAATTCAAGAGTATACTGTATTTTTATAGTTCCACCGACAGTTAACGTAGAGTCAGTTCAGAAAATGGTTAGAAATGGCGAAGATTCTATATTAGTTTGTAACATAACTGGAGATAAACCATTAAATATTTATTGGACTAAAGACGGAAACAAGCCAGAAGACAATCAAAGGTGAAAAAAAACTTTTAATACTGTGTATAAATAGATATTTCCATAAGCTATTTTAATAATTTGCTTTTGAATTGCTAAAATAAATATCAGGATACAAATAGTACACACGAATTTTGAAAGAAGCTACAAATCAGTCTTAAATATTGAATCTACTAATAGAGAAGACAGTGGATTGTATGTCTGTAGTGCCAATAACACATTTGGACATAGCCAGATGGCAATTAGACTAGGAATTGTTGGTGTGTTCCTTAATATTAATAATACTATAATTTAATGTCAAAAATAATATTTAAGGATGAATTTGATAAAATTTTTAGAGCCACCCAGCCAACCTGAAGAATTAAAGGTGAAATCAGTATGGAGTAGAAGTGTTCGGCTCAGTTGGTTGCAGCCTTATAATGGGAATACTGTAATTCAAAAATACATTTGTATTTATAAGAAAGGTAATAATAAATGAATTTCATTGTGAATGTTGATTTATATTTAGTTATATTCACTACGAATGTTATTGTTAATGTTACTAGTATTTTTTTTTTCTTAGAAGGTAAGGATAATCCCTTAGAACTAAAAATTGATGGATCTCAAATGTCAGTCATTGTCCTTCGTTTGAAGCCATACACGAAATATCAATTTCAAGTTGTTGCTATCAACGAAGTTGGAAGTAGCAAACCATCAAAAATCATTGAAGCCATTACTTCCGAAGAAGGTAACTCTCAACATTAGCAATAACTTTTCCGAAATTTTAACACTAAAATTCATTAATTTATCTAATGAATGTCATTCTTTAATATTTGCAATATAAAATTTATATAAAATTTATAAAATTTAAGATATAAAATTTATATCTTAATTCGCAAAAGCAATTTTCTCTGTGATTTTTTGAGTGGAAATAATAAATTAATTGTATTATTTGTTAATATGAACAGTTTTTTCAATTTTTCAGAACCTACATCACCTGCTTTCGATCTTCAAGTAAGCGAAAAATCAACTGCTTCAGCTGTTTTATCTTGGAAGGTAGTTATCTGCAAGTATATCTTTGAGCAAATATTTTCATTTGTGTGTTGACTGTTATATTTTACAATAACAATTTTAAAATTTATAAACTTTAGTCACCATCTAAGCATCAATGGAATGGATTATTACTGGGATTTTATATCGGATATAAGAAAACAAGTCAGGGATCACATATATCTTATTCATATAAAAATGTGAAAATAGATCACAAGCATGAATTTCAAAAAGCTAAATTAGATAATCTCCAGAAAACGTCAACTTACACAGTGATCGTCATTGCTTACAATAGAGCTGGATTGGGTCCACCTTCAGAACCGATACTTATAACTACTTCTTATGTTGGTAAGATAAAGTTTGTTAATTCAAATTAAATATTTTGTTAAAAACGTTTACCAGATAATATTAATTTTTTCAGAATCTCCTCCAACACCTCGGATATCAATTTTGACAACTGACTCTAACTCAGTGACAATGAGAATCTTATGGTCCTCAAAAAGAAACACGCCTCTAACTGGTATTTGATATAAATTAAGTTTAATGTTGATATTTAATTTTATCTTTTATTACATGTGTTAGATATTTTCTTTAGTTGTAAGAAAACGAAAATAGTTGGTGTGTTAGATGTATGTTTAAGTTAATTATAAGCAAGAATAATGCTTTATTTATAAATACAATTAATTTTTGTTAATTGATTTAGCTAGTATACGCTACAGAAGTAAATTTCGTAGAGGTGATGGGTTACTTTGTAACAGCATATGAAAGTGTAAAATTAGTAAAAGGAGTAAAATTACAGAATTATAAGATACAGGCAGAGAAATGAAACATCCCATATAACGGAGATTTAACCTAAAGACGAAAAAGTTGTTAATCGTGTAATTGTAATTTTTGAAGTGAGGTACTACTATGAATTATAACAGAAGTGAAAAAAGTGGTGCGCTTATAAGTGTAATGGAGTCTGTTAGAAAAGTTTGGTAGTGGCCTGAAGACAAAAAATGGCTGGTTTTCTGTCTTAATTATTTTATTTTATTGCTCTCTTAATTTTGAAAAACAGTTTTCTATATTCAATAACACATTGTCAACAAGTTTTAGTTATATATTTTTTTTTGGTAATAATAAAAATAATGATATTTAAGTTTAATGATGATAAAAAAATAGAATTTAGTGTTTATAGTCTTATAATAATGGTTGATAATTGTTTCAAATAATCTTTTAATATCGAGTGAATAAAAAAATTTCTATATTTTAATTGATTATTTGATAAACTTTCCAACTTTATTTTTTAAATTATATTATAAATAATAATTTTGTTGATATTAAAATGTTAATTATTATAAAATAAATTTAAATAATGAATAATCTCCTAAATGACATTTAATTTATATAGGTTACGTTGCCCATATAAAACCAACAAATGGACAATGGCAAATGGTTCGTCTTCCACTATCCCCAAACCATAATTATACAATAGGAGGATTGGTCGGAGGTGTACAGTACCAAATGTATCTAACAGCAAAGAATGAATATGGAGATAGTGGACCCACCGAAGTACTCAGTTTTCTCACAGCAAATAAAAGTAATAAATAAATGTGAATTAATTATTATATTAATTTTCTCATTTAAATTTTTATTCTTCTAATTCTATTTTACTGATATCTTCGAAAAAATAATTAGAATAATGTGTTAAGAATTTATTCTGCAAATTATAGCGTTTGCTTTATATATAATTACTTTTAATTACTTATAAATAATTGTAAAATTAAATAATAAACAGCAAAAATTAGAAAAGGAGGTATGTATTATTTTTCTATTTTATTATTTTAAATATTAATTATTTTAATTATAATTCTAAATGAGTTTGAAACATAAAATATTTATTACTTATATTTTCATAAAAGGGTATGTTTTTAATTATTTTATAAAACTAATAATTCTACTGATTATGCTTACATCAATACTTAAAATAAAGAAAACTGAGCGATATGAGGGCGAGTCAAAGCAAATTGAGGAGATTGATTTTTATATGCTATTCACTCTAGGGAAGGTGAATGTGGTCTTATTCCTATGGAATTTAATGCACGTTTTTGAAGACACGATCTAATGCAGTCTTTGAAGACATACTAGTCTATTTTTTTAAAAATGTAATTGACAGTTGCCTCCAATGCTTTGATTACTGTTATTGTAGAGGGAAATGGATTCCCCGTAACTTCGACTTCAGTACTAAGAATAGGAAAAAGTCGCGAAGTGTTAAATCTGTGATGCACAGTAAAATGGAGCGCACGAAATATTTTTCTTGGCCAAATACTGTCTTTCAGTTAACAGCATTTGGGCGCACATTGTCATGATGTAGTCGCCAACCATTATGAATAAATGTCATGATTTCCATGCTAGTGTGCATAAATGATAGTTATTACTGGCCGGCGACTGTTGTATTCAGCAACATATGTCGGCACCATTTCTTGGCAATCAAAGAAGGTAATGACCATTCATTGCCAGCACAAGATGAATTACATCTTGCTGATGATTTTCATGCTGTGCTGACTAGTTTGCTCTTAGGACCGAGATGACGTAGAAGGATTTATCACTTGCGACAACTGATCGCAGAAATGTGTCACCAATATCGGTCACCAGAGATTGAAACTCTTGGGCAGACAATTTTCGAATGTGCTTCTGCTCAAATAACAGAAAAACCAAAGAACCCATCGAGAACAAACGGGTTTCGTATACGATGGTCATGAAAAGTTGTATGGACACTCCCATAGAGGACGTTCAATATATCAGCAGTTTTTTTAAACTTTTCGCCCTGTGGGCATTAAGAGGGCCTCTATTAGCAAGCTCATTATAGATTCGGCCAGCCCACAATGGGGCGACCGGGTGGTGAGGGACGGGGCCCGACGTATCCGGACAGACCACCCCGAAAAATTCCTAAAGATTAATCGACCTTTCTGGATTCGATCCAGGGTCTCCCAAAGCAGTAGGCTGCCACCTTGACCGCTCGGCCATCCGGCCGCATCATCCGTATGTTATCAATCGTCACCATTTCTCTGTGCTTCTTGGGCTGCCACCTTGACCGCTCGGCCATCCGGCCGCATATATCAGCAGTTTACGATAGTAAGTCGTTGGGTCTTTCGGTCGATGACAGTAGTGTTAATGTTTGCTTCAAGATTGAATCCCTGCTTTTGTAGAATGCATTTAACCATTCACAACACTCCTCTTTCAATATTTCATAAGCTTCTGTTTTTTTTTTTCAAGCGAAAGCAAGGTTTTAGCGCTGCCTACTGTTCATGATCAACTCCAGTTTGTTACCTTTTAGCTCTATATTTGCTCTGCACGCTCTAACAGAATATGCCAAACGAAGCATCTTATTTACGTACAAGTTTTTGGACAGACGCTTTAATCATTGTTCTTAACAAGAATAAGATTCGAAATTTATTACTGTACTTTCGACAGAAAAAAATCAAATCAATCTCAATTTGTTTTCATTTGTCTTCGAAGTTTTATTCTGTAAAATATTGCAGCAGTAAATCTATGTACAATTGCTCTTAAACTTTCAGATATTTTAAACTAAATAAAACATTAACATTTTTTAATAACTTAATGTTTTATTTATGAATTTATAAATTATGAATAATTTATTCCTTTTTTGTAAATTCAGGAGATCGATTAAAATATATTTTAAAAAAGTATATTTATGTATATAATTTTTTAAAAAACTTTCAAAAGAAAAGTCACTTTAAAATAATGAATATGATAAAAATTACACTGATTTTTTCAACAGTCGTTTTTTTTTATTATCGAAGAGATATACTCACATCATATGCATTTCGAACTGTATTAATATCTGACACTGAAGACGCTTTCAGTGTCAGAAATACACAATAATAATAACGTGAACCTTTTAGTATACGAGAAGAGTACCGAGATACGGTTTAGTCACACGCTGGAGATCATTTTTATAATATAATAAAACCGGTAAAAATGTGCATACCGTCATTTACATTCAATTTATTTTTAGTATTAATGATTATTAAACGCTCTTTAAATTTTCTTTTATAAATATTTTTTTCCTATTAACTTATTTTAATTTATTTTTTGTTTGTTTCTTTAGAAAAAAGCGAGACCAACCACATGACCAGATGAAACAACTTTATTTAACTTTTACGATGATACTGTGCCAGGAATTCAAATGTCCATAGAAAAGTGCTATAGACAGTCGAACTGTCATCGTAAAAAATTAAATAAAGTTGTTGCATCTGGTCATACATTGCTTTCGTTTTCTAGAAAAACAAATAATTGTTAATAAAGCGGTTTTCTATAATTAATAATTAAAAATAAATAACTTCTATTAATACCTAAATACTTTTATCGATTGTTGATTTTCGAAATTTAGAAAACGATGATGAACCTCTTTATCAGCAACTTTCATTTACACTACCTGTCGTCATCTCATTGGTAATAATTATAATTCTTCCTTTGGTATCTTGCTGCTGCATGCACAAATTAGACAGGCCGTTTTTAGAACCAGGTTTGTTTTATTCTTAAATATTTTTATTGATTTTTCCATTATTATTCATAAACTGGTCTTTATGCACCAGAAGGCGTCGAGGCACGCGGCTTTACTTATACAGCAGCCACTCCAACTCAAAGACCCGATTTAGTAACGACGGGAATGGTTCGTTCCTTACCACGTGCTCCAGTTCCAGCTCCTACTCCTGCTCCTCCTCCTATTCCCATTCCGGCATCCACTCCTGTACAGAATCAATCTACTTACTCCGCTCTTCATACATATGGAAGTGAAGCGGAATATGATGATCCTAGATACGATAGTGTGGTGGAAGAAATGAAGAATTTCTTAGGTGCCAATGCCATGTGAGTACAGTTTTTGCTTAATTTAAAAAAATATTTTTCTGTATTTAATATATTTTTTACAGGAATCGCAAAACTACTTTGTAGAAAATTCAAATCATACAACTTTTATGTGCATTCAACAATTGTTGGGGAACAGAATTTTTAAATTAGAGTTTGTTCGAAAGAAAGTACAGCATGAACTGTTAGATGTTTCTGTAGAATAAATAGGAAAATTTTTGTGGTTTGTTACAATTTTTCATCTTGTAAACAAATTATACTTATATCATTTCTTGTTTTTTATGAAAATAAACTTTTTAATGGTTATTAATAAAAGTGTCTGTTTCTATTTTTACTTCTATAAGTTACACAAAATTATAAAAACCATTTAGTTTTTTAGCTTCTTCATATAATAATTGGTATGTACTTGAAATTATAACCGTACATATTCAAACATTTAGTAAGTATTTGCCATTATGTTTTAAAAGTTTATTTAAAAATACGAATAATATTCTTAAAATATAATTTATATTTTAAAATAGATTTCATTCATTTCCAATGTGAAAAGAAGAAACACTTTTTGAGTAAGTGACTAATAATAATCTTGAATTTATATAAATTCTTAATTTTTTATATTAATTTTTATTAATTTGAAAGCAATTTATATTGTATGAAATGCGTTTATACAGCTTTATCTCAACTACATCAATATTATTTGTTAAGTTCAATTATTTTAAGGAACAATTAGAAAGCAAAAATTGATGTATTTATTCCTTTTTATTTAAATTTAGAAATAATAATTGTGTTTTTTAGGATATTAAGAAACATCAGGAAATGATATTGAATCTACGTTGAATGCATTTCATGCGAAATTGTAAAGAAGGAAATGGAGTTAGGCTTTGCTGTAGTAAAGGCAAGTTGTGCAAAGAACATTACATCTTGCGATTGTTAGCTTAGTGCATAGGTCTAATATACTCGTACTTTTCTCATTATGGAAATAATTTATAGTCATTCTTTTATGAATTAATGTACTATATGGATTTATATTCTGGCTTATTGTTATCCCTACCCTGAAAATTAAGCTTTTTGCCATTTTATAATNAACTCTCAACATTAGCAATAACTTTTCCGAAATTTTAACACTAAAATTCATTAATTTATCTAATGAATGTCATTCTTTAATATTTGCAATATAAAATTTTAACTATTCAAATTTAAAATGCTTATTTAAATATATGATACAGAAAATCACTGTAAATTGAATTTTAATTTTGTTGCTAAAAAGGTATCTTCGTACTTGTGAAATTAATTCAGAATTTACTCACAGTGTGTCGCTCTATTCATTTGACTGCATCAGTATTGTGTGATGAGTTAATCTAAATGAAAGCAGAGTGAGGAATTATCATGACATTCATATTCTATTTACTTTTTGTAATTTAAGCGAATTATTGTTTATTTCAGGAATATCTAAACGTCTAAATAATTCTGTGTTGCAATGAATTACATCTGACGTGAAACAGGGAGGAGCGAAAATAGAAGAAAATGGATGTTGGGCTTCACTGTAGTGAACAAAAGTTCTGCAATGAATTTAGTACCTTGTGATCTTCCGATTCATTTTTAGATGAAGTGTGCCATTATGGGAGTGATTTACAGCTGTACTTTTAAATGTTATATTCTGTGGATTTCCATTTTTATTTCCGTCGTTTTTATGGGAGGTAAGTATCAAATTTTCCATGTTGTTATCCGCCATGATGCTTTATAAGTGGCTAGGGAAGGAAGTTCATTGATTTGTTTTCGTTTTCCGAATATAAAAATATGAAAAACGAAAATAAATTAACATTAAACTGTATTGGCGTTATTTGTTGTTTTAATTTAATAATAAAATAAAATACATAATATAAAAACAATTATCCAAGCTTCGTGAATCGCAATTTAATAGCTTTAAATAACTTTAATTTTAGAGTGCTGAAGCCTCATAACGAGTGCAGAATATGTCCGATTACGCAAACAAAGTTCGCGAAATTAAAGAATCTCGAGAAAATTTGTAGTAGAAAAATATTACGACAATAGGCGCTTAAACTTTACGATAAAATGTAGTGTTTCGATTTTTCCGAAATTCGGTTCCGAAACACATCTTTATAAAGAACCGAAAAAGAAAATTCGTTTGTATTTCTAAACTCTTTGATACTGTTAAATAAACCAAATTTCGTTTCGGCTTGAATTAAAAGTAAATATTCAACTCATTTCCCACAATAAAAATTTATAAGCTGCGTTTGAAAATTTTTTCAAAATTGTCTTAATGATAAAACTTCTATTTAGCTATTTAATGATTTTATAAACATTATTTTGCTTTATTTTTCGTACTTTTTCTTAGATATATTTCGGGATTAATATTTTTTATTTTATAATAAATGTTAAAAACAATAAAACGTTATAAAAATATGGCCGCGTTTTCAAAAAAGAAAAAATAATAATAATGAAAAAGTAAGTCAAAAACTCTAAAAAAGTTTCTCTTTGCAAAAAATTTTTGAATTTCTCAAATAATTTTCAGAAAAAAAAAATTTCACAATGTAAAGAAATTGTGTTTTTGGCCGTCAAAAAGTCCATGAATTGGCACTCCTTGCTAAAAATAGATTATCCATGGTACTAGTGTGCAATAATTTTCGGGGAAGATTCGTGTATGCTATGGAAAAATTTTGGCTTCTGAAAATTTTCTGCACCCCCTACTTTACAGTGGCTGAAGGCCAGAAATTTATAAGTGTTTTGTCGAGGTATTCAGGACTTGGACTTCTGTAGGCTCTAAATATTTACCTTAGGAACAGGAATAAGATAAGGCATTGTATTCAAAATTTAATATTTATTTTCAATAGGCATAAAACAAAATAATTTTAAAATATTGTTTGTTATTGTTATTTACCAGTTTGTTATTTTTAATGAAAACATTGTCTCTCAAAATCCGGCAATTTAAATCCAAAGAGCCACAATGTCAAAAGCAGAAAATCTCAAGATATCTTCCCTCTCGTGAGAAGTAAATTAATTTTACACGAGTCTTAACGACGAAAACACGTGATTTGAAGAAATTTTCACTCCTCAATCGTTTGAATAGTGAATCTTTTCCCCCAATAGCTCAAATTGGAAGTACTTTCTAGCTTGAACATCCATAAATCAATATTATGTGCAGATTAATATCTAGTACAAAATATATCTTAGATATAGTACAATAGTTCGTTGCTATATTTAAATTTCTCAGCAATAAAATGATACACGAAGGTTATCAGGTATACTGTACAGTAAATCATAACTAAATCTCGTTAATATCAAAATAAATTACGCCGTGTCCTGTACGTCGCATTGAAGAACTCGTGAATTCATTGATCTTTACATGCATGGATTATCTTCGGTTTTCTATCTTCTAATTTTCTATTGATTGAAACTCTATGATAATGCATGTGCTGTTTGTGAAGCCGAACTATATGATCACTTGAGAGATAATGTATGAAACTAAGAAACTTCTCATGGGCTAGATCCAGTCAGTTGTCGTCGCTGTTTCATACTGTACAGTAGAGCCTCGATTATCCGATCCCCGATTAACCGACACCTCGGTTAACCGACCGTCCTAGTCGGTAAATTTCAAATGTCCGCTAGTGATGTGGCGCTACAATATTTGGCTATGTCTTGGTTACTTTAATATTATTTTTACGTGTTTTAGCTGGAAACACTCATTCGACCATGAAAGGGAGCCAGTATTTAAACGAGGCTTAATTTTCTAATTTTTAACGATACAATAGCGACGATTATTATTTTAAAAAATTTTTGTTAGGCTTAACATCGATGAAAATTCAACGNAATAAATAATTTTATAACTATATTATTATACACATAAACATTTGGAAACATATGATATTCAATATAAACAATTATTATAAAATATACAGGGTGTCTCACTTAAAATCGGGAGGACTAAGATGATAAATCGTTAATAATGTAAATTTTTAGGGAAGATTTTTGAAACATTAGTGATGTAAATATTATAGGGGTTATTTAAAAGAGAAAGGATAATTCTGGAATTGGTCTCACATAAGTAAATGAGACCAATCTCAGAATTATGTGCAAACTGAAGGAAAGCATTAGCAGAAGCATTAAGACATCGGTATTTTACGTAAGATAACTTTGAATATGATTACGTACTCAAAAGTGCATAGATGAACATGGACATCATTTTTGGCATCTGTAAGTTTCTAAACGTTTAAATGCTGTTAAAATAAAATTTATAATGCGTCCCCTTTGCCTAATTTCAGGGAACCTTGTGTAATAAATTATATTAATTTATTAAAATTTAAATACAGTATTTTTTAATTTGTAGCTTACGAATAATTTGAATAGTTTTAGTTTATATTTTTGGTTTTTTTCTAATATAGTTCCGCCGAAAATTGTTCCACAAATTGGAGAAGATACGTTGAGAGAAGGTGACAGATTTATAGCTTTTTGTGGAGTCAGAGCTGGAGATCCGCCCTTAACTTTCCAATGGTCTAAGAATGGAAAATCCTTGATAGAATCATCTCATGTAGTAATTCATCGTCAAGGAGATTTTTCAACTAATTTAATCATTGCTGCTGTTAAAGGTACAGACAGTGGAAATTACACTTGTATGGCATCAAACAAATTCGGTTCAGATAGTTTCACTACCAAGCTGTTGGTATCAGGTAAATTTGATAATTTTATTAAATTGTAAAAAAAAGATATTATTTATAATAATTGTGCAGAATGTTAAGTAATAATTATGCAATTTCAGTGCCTCCTTCTTGGGTTCGTCAACCATATGATGTTTCAGTCAAGGCAGGAAATAAATTAATTCTTGATTGTCAAGCTGATGGCTATCCCGTTCCAATCCCAAAATGGAGAAGAACTAAAGGTAACGATTTTATTTTATAATATAAATATTCAGATAACTTGCCAATATTTATTATAATGAAATTAATTTAAATTAGCTAAACAAATTCTAAATTCAAGCTTCAATAAAAATTATTTAAATTATATGCCATTATATGTCGATCAGCTTCAAACGTTACATCGTTTCGTCTAAGATAATAATAAATATTTCAATTTAAGTTAAAATCTCTCAGCAATATTTAATTGAATAAATGCTTATAGTATTTAACATAAGCAACCCTAGTATAATTAATTAATTACCAATATTGGATGCGAAGTATTATGGTGAAAGTATTTATTATTTTATTAGATTTATTTGATGGACAAAAATTTGTTGGAACATTAATAATTGCTTTATAATATGATGTTAAGTATATCTTTATTTACTATATTTAGTAGGCTACATGTAAATTACTCAAAAAACATTTTCTGTATTATTATTAAATAATAATTAGCTTCATTTGCTTTAAAATGCTAATGCCAACAAGCTGACAAAAAATTGAGTTAATTTGCTTATATCAATACATAGATAGATTACAATGAGGGAAAATAATTTATTTAAGGCCTATATAAAACTTATTTTTCAATGAATTTCAGTAACTAAAAAGATAATGTTTGACGCTTACTAGTTATAATTATTAATAAATAAATTGTTAATATAATATTACATAATATTTACGAATAATATTTTTATTCGTGATATGAACAGTAAATTTTATGAATATGTATCAATATTTCTTTATTTATGTATTCATGCATAGACCTATTACTTGATTAAGATATATATGTTTTTGAATGTTTTATATATATATATGTTTTTATATGGGCTTGTGTATGTTTGTCTATATATCAGGATAGTTAGATTTTTTTTCTTCTGCCTGTGGGCACTAAAAGCCCCTTTTTGAGTCAAATCCATTGAGTGTGTGTTTGGCCGGCCTATAATGGGAAGGCTGATGAAGGACTGGAGGGTCATATCCAGGACAGACCACACCTGAAAAATTTCTGGTGTTTTTCGTCCGCCAGATTCGATCTAGAATTTCACAGAGCATTAGGCTGACGACTTAACCTCCTTTTAGTTCTTCTGTAATTTATATCATCTATATAAGTTTTTCATTCTGTTTCATCAATCGAAAGTATCAAGAAAGTTTTTTTTATAAGTTCAACTGATATGTTTTTCTTATGCTATCGTAAATATAAATTGTAAGAGAAAGTCATAACTACTATATACGATTTTTTAACTTTATCATTAATTTAAGAGTTTAAGTTAAACTAAGCAAACTTTTTATACCAATAAAATAATTGGTATAAAAAGTTTGCTTAGTTTATATATTAAGATATTATTTGTTTATTGTATCACAAGGTTTTAGCGTTTCACAGTCCTCTCAAGTTACCGAAAATCATTGGAAGATTATTAATACTGGTACCTTGAGTACTTCAGCTGCCAAGAAGGAAGATGAAGGATTTTACACTTGCGAGATTTCAAATGGAATTGGAAAGAACTTAACAAAAACTGTCCGAGTGGAAGTTCAAGGTAAATGAAATACAACAATGATTATTAAGTTAGTTATTCATATTATCAGATTTTTCAGTTTTATCAGTAATTAAATCAGTGTTATTACATCTCAGATATTTTTCATTATACATATTTGATGAAACTAAAATGCTCAGGAGATTAAATTCATTAAGTTCTTGAAGATTTAAGATGATTTTTAATAGTTGTAATTTTACAATGTTTTTGTGTGTATATTCGAATTAAGTTCGATTAAATATTCAGGATTTTTTAAGTACAGTATCTATGTATTTTTATATTTTTAAAGAAAATAATGTATTAATATTAAATTTCAATAAAATATTGGTCGGCCAGATAACCGCATGATATGGTGGTATTAGGCTTCACCTTAGCGTGTTACGTTCATGGGTTTTATCATGGATAGTCCAGGTTGGAGGTTAATGAGATTGATCCACTCACTCTAGTTGATCTCATTGAGAATTAGGCTCGCTCGTAATGGATGAAATTATAGCCTGACAAATAGTATACCGTCTTGGGCTTCGTGATAATAAATCAATCATTAAAAAATTGATAACATAAACTACGACTTATGTATATATAAGTAGAAAATTTATCTGTTCTTTGTGCATTTGAAGACAATTGATAACAAATCAAATCAAATACAAATGCAATAAAAGATTCCAAAAATCATCATCTCATCTAGGAGATCAATGGATTTTTTATACAAAAAATTGGTTCTCAACAGGCGCGGCCTATGTATCTGATCAATAAAATTGTGGCATTTTGTGATGTAGAGAACTACTGAATATTACACTGTAAGCAAGTACCTAGAGATTTTTTAGGGTTGTTATCTATATGTACAAGCTTAAAATGAAAAGTTGGCATTTGAAGGCGGTGTGAGCAAATGCAATCATACTGTCCAAAAATTTTCTTCTTATCCATTACCTTTTTAAAAAATTTTCTACAGTGTAATCTCACATAGAAATTTATAATTGAATCTGCATTGGTCCAACGTCTGCAACACGGCCTAATACTGGTAATCTACTGTTGAGCCAACATTAATAGCGCCATGGTTCCACACCATTAGAGGTTAATTTATAATTGAGGTGTACTTTCGACCAACAGTCGACATCAATACAGGCCCAGAAATTAAAATCAGTATTGGTTTGATGTTTGCTAACAACAATGGTCCCAGCCATCAATGCTTAACATTTTCAGTCGACATAAGTCAGTATTGTCAATGAAAAATGTACCAATATTCATTACAGATCTTGCACCATTATTGGCAAAGATGTAAAGTAATGGTTTTCACAACATTGGAATTTAATTGCGATTTGACATTAACATTAATATCAGAATGATGTGTATTGATATAACCAGATTTCAGCATATAAAATAATGTGCCTAAAAATATTTTTATCTTATATTTTAAAATATATTTTAAAAAATGCGCTTTGTTGTATTCTGCATAAACTTGAAAATAAAAACAGTTTAAAAGTTCGGGAAACATTGATTTAAAAAATAAATTTAGTAAATATTAATATAAAATTAAAACTTTACATTATAGATTTTTGATAATTTATAGTGTTTACTAATTTTATGCTGATACTGTAAATATAAAATAATAAATAATATTAACAATTCAAATTTTATTTTTATGCAGTTCCTCCTTTTGTAAAACTAGATTCTACACAAAAAGTGGCCAGAAATGGCGACAATTCTGAACTTATATGCAATATTACTGGAGACAAACCTCTAAACATTTATTGGTCCAAAGATGGTAATAAACTTGCGGACAATCAAAGGTAACAGAAAATACTTATAATAATATAATTAAGCGAATATTATGACAGTGTTTGATGTTTCATTAAAAATGTTATTTTTTTAAGGATACAAATAGTAGAAACTATATTAGAACGAAGTTTTATTTCAACCTTGAATATCGAATCAACATCCAGAGAAGATAGCGGATTGTATGTGTGTAGTGCCAATAATACTTTTGGATATAATCAGATGGGAGTTCGACTTGGAATAGTTGGTAAATATCTTGAATTTAGGCTTTGTTATTATATTGACTGGCAAAATTAATCTATATAAAATTTTCTGGTAGAACCACCCAGCCAACCACAAGAGTTAACGATCAAATCAGTCTGGAGTAGGAGCGTTCGTCTGAACTGGAAGCATCCCTATAATGGAAACAGTATAATTCAAAAATATATCATCCGTTACAAGAAAGGTATTTGAATTATAAGGAAACGAAATTAATTTGATTATGATTTTAATTTTTTTAATCTTTATTTCAGAAGAAAGCACTAATCCTTCCGATTCCGAAATGAAAATTGATGGTTCTCAAACATCTATTATTATACTTCGCTTGAAACCTTATACTAAATATCAATTTCAAATTATTGCTGTTAATGACGTCGGATCGAGTAAACCCTCGAAATTAGCTGAAACTGTCACGACAGAAGAAGGTAATTCCGATTATCATCAAGATTTATAAAATAAATTTTACATAATTTGTAATCATATTTTATATACGGGATGGTAAAAAAGCTCTTCCCGGCCAATTATTTCAAAACCTAACAGACAATTACTATAGACGTTCTTCCGGTGTATACTATGTTGGGCATGTGTTAAACGATTGAGGAATTTCTGCTACCTCTAGCCCTTCTATCGAAAAGCACTGTTGTAATCTCAACCTGTAATGAAAATAGGTATCCTTGTCAATTATCAAAATAAAAGAATGCTCACTATTTACCTTTTAGTGCATTCCGAAATATCAAGTGGGATCCCGGAATAGGCTGTCAAATATGAGAAATGAATGCTTTACTGCATAACACGTAAGAGATATTAATACATCACTACATAACAAATGCAATGGGGAAGTGATTGAACGTGCGGTTAGGTTTAGGTTAGCAGAGATACGATATGCAAATGATCCGATTTAATAAGAGCTATCAAATGCCGTTAAATAAAACACACAAAACACCATAGATGCTTGCATATGCCATTTATTACACATTTTTAAAAGACTGCCTTTTGCAGCTTTGCACGCCTATATCTTTTCGATAATAGCTTTCTGCACTATCAACATGCATCCAGAATACGTTGTTCCACATCATTTACATTGAATGGCTGTGTTTCGTAAATCTTCGACTTCAGATTGCTCCGTAGGAAAAATCCGTGGATTTAACATGTGAGATAGCATAGTTTCAGTTAGTCACCCAAATGTAATTTTGCACATGCATAACAATTAAACCTAAAACTCAGGAACGTAACTAAACGTTAGTCTGGAGACCTTGGTGGTCAGTTCACTGGTTTATCCTGATCATCCACTGCTGTCCGAAATTGATGTTTAACTTATTCAATCTTACACTGCATGAGTGTTGTACGGTGAAGCGTTATCATGTTGAAACGATATGCTGTGCAAATTGTGAACCCTGTTCACAGCAGAGTTTGCATAACAATGTCAGCGAAAACCTATGAGCTATAAGTTCCTAGATCTTTACTTGAAATTGCAGCATAGCTATGAACGTTGCTGCTGTACTATTCAAAATGTTATAATTTTAATCAATTTACTGAAATAACTTGAAAATTACGCATCTTAGAAAAAATCCATTGAATCAAAAATGTTAGATTTCAAGGGAGCCATAAAATGCTGCTATCGGTTTCATCGTGGATTGCGCTAATCAATGAAACCGAGGTAAATTTAATTTTCTTAAATAAGAACCCCGTTTTTATTGCACATTATGATTCTACATCAAAAACAGACACCCTTTTATGTAAAACATTTTTTCGAAAGATGCACTTATCAGAAGTTATGAGCGTTTGAACTCTTATGCCGCTGCCAGACCACGTGCCCAAGCATCTGTGGATAGTCCCTGTAAGTAAAGAGAATAATGACATACCATCACGTTGCAAGTAAAACTGAGTGCAATATAGTTGAATGGAAAAATCGCTATTTTTAAACTCCGAATTTTTTATATTTAAATGTCATATTTTTTATAACTTCTTTCAGCCCTCTGGACACTAAGAGGGTCTTTTTCCATATCTATAATGGAGTCAGTCGGGCTCACAGTGAGAAGGCTGAAATGTGGGGAACGTCTAGCCCGACATTTCTGAGAAGACCATCAATTAAAAATGTGGAGTTTTGTTCGTATTTGATTCAGTCCTCCAGATCGATAGTTTGACGTCTTTGCCACCTCGGTCATTCGGCTTGTGGTTTTACTAAATTTGGTTGGCTTCTATATCGTTGATATTTTATATAGTCAATAAACTACGTGTTCTTAAGTCTAAAGCATGTTTTGTCATTCTCTACGACATAGAAAATGGAGGAAATTTGGCAAATCTCTGTCGTCGTTTAAAATAAATCAAGCATTTTATTAAAACTGCGGTATTCTAAATGAACATTTATGTCACATACAATTATTCTGAATTTCGTTTTTATAAAGCCGATTTTTATCATTTGATATTTTATTGTATATCAATTAACTTTAATGTAGAAATTTAATAAATAAAAAAATTTAATGTTTGTTTTTCTGACAGCTGCACAAAAATATCTTAATTAATTAATGGCCACATTGATTCGCTGCACTTGAGTACCACTGCGCTCACATGAAAATCCTCATTGCATTGTAACAAATTAAATATTACTAATATTTTAAGAATATGTAAGATTATTTTTAATTTATTAGAAATTAGTATTTGCTTAAGAGTGAGAAATCCTAAAGATGTTTAACTCAGTAAAAGAATTAATTTGCATTAAAGTAGTGTTTTCTTGATATTAAGTTACAAAAACTTTTGAAATGATTAAAATTATTATTTGTTTTAATTGTTATTCTAAGAAATTATAATATCGATCATCTAAAAGCTATTTTAAAAAATAAAAACCAAATTTTTGATTATATTTTATAGAACCTCTATCTCCACCTTATGATCTTCAAGTGACCGAAAAATCTGCTACAACATCACATCTCATTTGGAAGGTACATTTAGTTTGATTTTTTATGAATTATATTACTTTGTAAGATATTTTAAATAAATTTTATATATTTTAGTCACCACCTAAGCATCAATGGAATGGACCATTGATAGGTTTCTACATTGGTTACAAAAAGACTAGTCAAGGTTCTCAAATACCTTATTCATACAAAAATGTGAAAATGGATCATAGACACGAAACACAGAAAACCATTTTAGACAATCTTCACAAGACTTCAACTTACACTGTAAATGTCATTGCATATAATAGAGCAGGAATGGGCCCTCCTTCAGAGCCAATTCTTGTTACAACTTCCTACGTTGGTGAGATTTTCTTGAATTTAAATTAAAATTAACTTCTTTTTATTGAGAATTCTAACATTGAATTCTGCTTTCAAGAATCTCCTCCAACACCTCGAATCTCTATTCTAATTAGTGATCCAAATTCTGTGACGATAAGAATTTTATGGAGCTCAAAAAGAAATATTCCTTTAACTGGTATTCATTTTACAATCTTAACTTACACTATAAATTTAGCATTTCTATAGAATTTGAATTTTATCAATTTACTAATTAAATTTAAATTTCGTCTGTTAACTGATAAATAATATATGTCTATATAAGCAAATTTAAATAGGTAAAAAAGAGAGGTACATTATATCAATTACTAGGTTTTTTTTATAAATTCAATTTAATAAAAATGAATTTATTAATGAAATAGTAATGCAGTGTATATTTTCTGTTTTTCACTTTAAAATATTTGTATATTTTAGGATATGTTGCTCATATAAAACCCACTAATGGTCAATGGCAGATGGTTGGACTCCTACCTTCTCCAAATAATAACTATACCATTGGAGGATTGGCAAGCGGAGTTCAATACCAAATGTACTTAACTGCGAAGAATGAATATGGTGAGAGTGGACCTACTGAAGTTCTCAGTTTTCTTACAGCAAACAAAAGTAAGATTTTAAATAAATCATTTCATCAGTATAAAATGGCTATTGTATAAGCAATGATTTGCGTTTTTATGTTGTGTAACAGTTCATGATGTACTAAGTAGTAATAAATCTTGGTTAAAGTTTGACACACACTACATTGGATCAGATGGGATCGAAACGGTCGGAATTGTTTAATAATCTTTTAAATAAATCCCGCATCTAATTCGGATCGGATTGGAATTTCCTGTGAAATTCTAAGCATAAATTATAACTAATAAATCTTTAGATCCTAATGAGCAGAGAAAATTCATTTTCGTTCATTAAAAGGGGTTCAGATTCGATGTAGTATGCGGAAAGCTTAAGCATTATTGTTATAATATTTACTATATTTTACGGCATATATAATACACCTCCATTTCAGCACAAAATGTTTAGAAAAGTATTTAATTTATTTAAGCCATTGCGCGCCTTTGGCACTGGCGCCAAGTTTTTTTTTTTTTTTTTTACTGTCTTTCGGGCTTAAAAAGGTAAAATTAGAATGATATTAAGTTACAAAAACTTTTGAAATGATTAAAATTATTATTTGTTTTAATTGTTATTCTAAGAAATTATAATATCGATCATCTAAAAGCTATTTTAAAAAATAAAAACCAAATTTTTGATTATATTTTATAGAACCTCTATCTCCACCTTATGATCTTCAAGTGACCGAAAAATCTGCTACAACATCACATCTCATTTGGAAGGTACATTTAGTTTGATTTTTTATGAATTATATTACTTTGTAAGATATTTTAAATAAATTTTATATATTTTAGTCACCACCTAAGCATCAATGGAATGGACCATTGATAGGTTTCTACATTGGTTACAAAAAGACTAGTCAAGGTTCTCAAATACCTTATTCATACAAAAATGTGAAAATGGATCATAGACACGAAACACAGAAAACCATTTTAGACAATCTTCACAAGACTTCAACTTACACTGTAAATGTCATTGCATATAATAGAGCAGGAATGGGCCCTCCTTCAGAACCAATTCTTGTTACAACTTCCTACGTTGGTGAGATTTTCTTGAATTTAAATTAAAATTAACTTCTTTTTATTGAGAATTCTAACATTGAATTCTGCTTTCAAGAATCTCCTCCAACACCTCGAATCTCTATTCTAATTAGTGATCCAAATTCTGTGACGATAAGAATTTTATGGAGCTCAAAAAGAAATATTCCTTTAACTGGTATTCATTTTACAATCTTAACTTACACTATAAATTTAGCANGACTTAATGATCGGATCGGACTTAATGAAGATTTTACTCTTTATTAGCACTTATAATTTTTTTATAAAACCCGTCACTTTCCACAAAATTAAGACTTTTGCCATTTTATAATAGTTAAAAATATAAAAAGTTTTTACTAAAATATCATAACAGATGGCGCCACATGCGCATTTTTAAATGTTGCCGGGAAAGTTAAGCAAGTCGTTGCTGGATTGTTTGAATTTCATTTAAAATGTAAAACTTTTACTCTTTTTACTTTTATTTTTAACATAGTAAGCAAGCATCTTGTTTTCTACTTTGTTTGAATATGTTTTATTTAATAATTTTGGTAAATAAATGTGGAAAATTTTTAACACTAGGAATTCTAATCAATTCAAAATTCCAGTTTCTCAGTTCATAAATTTTATTACGAAAAATATGATTATATATACAGTACAATTTATTTATTTTTAAATTTTCTTAACTCTTAATTCTTTTATTAAATTTTAGTTCCACCAAAAATTGTTCCACAAGTTAGCGAGAATAATTTAAGAGAAGGTGAAAGATATATGGCTTTGTGTAGCGTCAGCGTAGGTGATCCCCCATTAAAATTTCAATGGTCTAAGAATGGAAAACCCTTAACGGAATCTTCGCATTTAGTTATTCGTCATCAAGATGACTTTTCAACTTCTTTGATTATAGCAGCAGTAAAGGGCGAAGACAGTGGAAATTATACTTGTGTTGTATCAAATAGATTCGGATCTGATAGCCATACAACTAAACTTCTTGTTTTAGGTAAGATTAAGAATATTATTCAGCATGTCGTTGTTAGTAATTTATGTTTTATAATTTCATATTTCAGTTCCTCCTTCATGGCTTCGACAACCTTACGATATATCAATAATGGCAGAAAAGAGTGTTGTCCTTCACTGCGAAGCTAATGGTTACCCCACTCCAACTATAAAATGGCGTAGAACGAAAGGTAAATGTTTCATATTTTACGTAATTATTGTTTTAATGAATATACAGTAAATGATGACAATGTTTTTAGGCTTTAATGTCGCTCAATCTTCTCCAATAACTGAAACTCATTGGAAGATAGTTGATGGTGGGTCTTTAACCACTTCCATTGCAAAGAAAGATGACGAAGGATTTTATACTTGTGAAGTGGAAAATATTATAATAGAAATTAATTTTAATTATAAAATAACATTTTAAATCATAGTTTTCGTATAATTTAAGTATTTAAGTATAAAAATATAGCTTAGAAGATTTAGTTTGTTTTCTTCCCATGCCGTGTCGCTCTAATCAATGAACTGCATCAGTATTGTTTGTGACGAGTTCATCTATCGGAGAGCGAGATGTCGAATGGAGTCATACAGTCAATTCTGTGAAAATCTAGTTATTTATGAAATACAATACTTCCATTTTGGCTAATATGAGGTAAATGTTACATGATCGAAACTATAATAATTATAACTAATGCTATATACAGAGTAAAGAGTAGGAAAGTTCGGCTTCACTGCAGAGAAGAGAAAGCAAGGCAGGAAAACCTTCCCTTCGTTATTAATCTCCTGACAGATTCAAGGCTATGTTAATAACAACAGGAAGAAATTTTAAATGCAGTTGTTATTATTACATCATTTTATGGATTTCTTCTACATTTCATATAGTTTATATGGAAGGTAAGTGAACTTAAAATATATAACTCAGTCGCCATTTTGGCTTTCTAGAGTAATAAAATTTATAAAAAATGGAATTGATTATTTATAAAAAATCTCTTTAACACTTATATTTAAAAATTAAAAATTAAGAAAAATAATTACTTTTAATATAAATTTAAAATATTACAAAAGTCAACAAAAAAATTATTGTTTAAATATAAAAATTTTTTAATTTAAAATACGTTTTATACATTTTTAAGCATAGTTAAATACGTGGAATGTTGACGTTGTGAAGTATAACTTCATGTATAAGCAGAAAACATAACCTTAATATTAAAAAAAAATACTTTCTCCATTTTATTAAAGGCTTCACTTAAATCTTAACTGATAAGCCTTTAATAAAATGGAAAAAATTATTTTTTTTAACATAAAAAAAATTATAATGTTGTTTTGTTTATACATGAAACTAAAGCATAAATCATTCAAACATTTATATTATTTATTATATTATACTAATAAATATTATTGTAATATATTATTATAATTTTGACACATTAAACCACGAAAATTTTTATTGGTCTATAAATTTAAAGAAAAAAATAAAAGATTATAATAAAAATAATTGTTATATGTTTAATTGCATTAATGAAATAAACATGGAAAATTTTTTTAAAATACTTTCTTCGTTACATTGTAAGTTTAAAGAATTGCAAAAATAATTATAATAATTTTGTTATTGTGCTGAATAAACAGAATTATGAAATAATAAAAATTTGTAGATCTATAAATGCCCACTGACGACCGTCCGTTCGCCTGTCCGTCCGTTTGTCTTTCTTTGTCTTTCTTTAATCTCGAGAATGAAGTTAGATAGATGAAAAATGTGACCAAACATGAAAAGCTTATGGGCAGGAGGCCCCGATTAACTGTATATGAACTTCTGGAAATCATGTTATTTCAAATCAAAAATTTTCCTCTGAAAGGTGTTAGATAACTGGCACGAACCTATTGTTAAAGGAAAAGTATGATGTACAGGGGCAAGCCACTACTAATTTGAGATGGAGAGAATATATTTTCAATAAATAAATTAATTAAAAATATGACTAAAAATTGCAGCCCGGCATTGTGACGATGTCACAATAAATAATTGCTTGTTAAACTTTATGTTTTAATATTAAAAAATATTTATTACTTTTCCTGCTGTTATATATAACAGAGGGAAAAGTAATAAACGGCAATCGGTCAAAAATTGACCCCCCCCCAAGATTTTTATATTTTAGGACTCAGGACACCTTGAAACGTCCAGAAGTTCAAAAAATTTCGGGAGTTTTCTCTGCATGTATGGTTGTTAGTGTGTGTGGGGAGGCACGATTTTGTTCACCCTCTTTGAAGCTTAATGACGCTCCTGTGCTTAATAACTCTTGTATTTTTGTCGAAAATTTTTTAAAATTTTGCAGGGTGGTTCTTTTATTAGGAAGATTGGTGTTATTAAAATTTGGTGGTTAAAGATTAAGGGTGTGGGGAGATAAAGGGGGTCATGTGTATCTCCTGACTTAATGACCGGATCGGACTTAATGAAGATTTTACTCTTTATTAGCACTTATAATTTTTTTATAAAACCCGTCACTCCCCACAAAATTAAGACTTTTGCCATTTTATAATAGTTAAAAATATAAAAAGTTTTTACTAAAATATCATAACAGATGGCGCCACATGCGCATTTTTAAATGTTGCCGGGAAAGTTAAGCAAGGCGTTGCTGGATTGTTTGAATTTCATTTAAAAAGTAAAACTTTTACTCTTTTTACTTTTATTTTTAACATCTTGTTTACTTTTTAACTTACATACTTTTTAACATCTAGTAAGCAAGCATCTTGTTTTCTACTTTGTTTGAATATGTTTTATTTAATACAGTAGAGCGTCGATTTTCCGAAAGTCAATCATCCGAAAGAATTTCAGTCGGCAAATTTAAATTTTCGCCAGTGCTGTGGCGCTTCAATCTTTGGCTATGTCTTGGGCTACTCAAATATTTTACGTTTTTGATACTAAATTAACATCTGAAGTATAATTTTTTATTATTTTTATATTTTTCAATATATTTATTTTGTTTGTACAAAATAAAAAAATAATTTTTAACGATACAATAGTCTTTGTTAGGCTTAACATCGAC